TGAGTGAGTGTGTGTGTGCGTGCGTGCGTGTGTGTGTGTGTGTGTGTGTGTGTGTGTGTGTGTCTGTGTCTACGCGTGCAGGTAATTGTACTAACCTGTCGACACAGACGGCACATAAGAGAGCACTACACAGACTAACAGTCCGTGCGGCCACAAACGGAACGAATTAGCCATGTCGGCACACGGCTCTTGCACTCGGTGATGATATGTGCCTTGTGATAGAAAACGACACTTATTTCGGTGGGATGCACTTTGTCCTATTTTTAACGCTCGTTACCTGTGATTGTAAGTGATGGTAAATGAATGACTAAACAGGTATACGTCAACATAAGCTTGTGCTTTCATCACCGCCGTCTTTATTTGTGTCCAGACTCAGATATCGTGGTAGTGTCGACAGGTTATCATCATTACTGAGTTAAGAAGGTATTTACTGATGTGACGTAACATTATGTCCAACAAACTAAAAGTTATGACTTGGAAAATCGACACATTTTGTCATACACATAATGTCTGCATCATTTTTGACAAGTCATGGTCACTATGATTTTAGTTTTTGTGGATGTTTAAAAAAAACTTTATCACTCCTAACTCTGCCGGAATAGAAGTCGTGCCCTTGTTCTTGGGTGATCCCTAGAAAGTATTGAGTGTCTCTCCCACCTGTTTTGCCTCACGTTAATATTTGAGAACTGATGGGTTCAAATGTCAGTACTGATAAAGTGAATATTTGCTTTTCTCACGGATTGGATCTCCTCTGTAGTCTGTACAGTGCACCTACTTGCCCTGAAACTGACAATCATGGCTTGATCCCGAGCAGCATATATACACTAAGACCTACCCAAGGTTTCAGATAACAGATTATAGATATTTATATAACGTTACCATCGACCAAAGATATTACAACTTGAGAATTTATTTCATTCTTTTCGTGCTGAGAATATTTTCTGAACTTGTGAGGGCCAGAATGTTCAAATGTATGTCATTTGAAATTACTAATAGAAAGATTAGATTTCTGTTCAATTCACAATGACAACTACTTGTTATCTTATCGTAAGTTCAAAGCGTACCGACATCAGATAACACGCTATCTTACTGTTTACTACTGTGTACACTAGCTTAAAGGCTATACAGCTGAACCAAGTAAAAGATAAGAAACGTTGAAGTTGTTACATTCTTTATTGCCCTGCAACGAAGTAACCCAGGGTGCCGTGCAAATGATCGTTATTCAAATGCGATTCTTACCTTTTACTCTTGTTTATAATTTCAACATCGTGGATTTAATCTAAGTGACTTCTTGATTGTAAATTCTTGATTGAGAACCATTTCTAAATATCACTGAGAATTCAAAGTGACTTTGACCAAGGAGGTTTAAACCTCTTTGCTTTGACATGTCAATCAATCCATATGATCGTAGTATAACCTATTTCGACCCAGAGAACTTATGACTTGTCCATCAATTTGTAGGTCAGCTGAAATAACATTTTATAATAGATTTAGAAGAGTTGCTAGTATGTAAAAATGTCGTCATGAGTGGCACCTCGTTTTACTCGGTCTGCCATAAGTTGTGAACACATTGAAAACTAGAAAGACCGACATTTGCTCGAGAACAAATGCAGCAGATGGCTTCACCACATGCCCCGTAATAAAAATGGTACTACGTGGTGTGGTGAAGCCATAATTCATGTATGAGGTTGACATTAATTTTAATCAGTCTGCTTGATATCATTCATAACTGTACGTACAGAGCATTAATTGTACGTATGTATTATGTTGCAGAGTCCACTTGAACGGCTGGGCTGTTATCGGCGATCGGCGTTAGGAGACGGGGATGCAGTTGTAGCCGGTACGAAGGCCGGTATCTTCACATGTCCACCCCGGACCGCAGGGGGAAGCCATGCAGAAGGTAGAGGCGGCTTTCGCTCCATGGGGAACTGCAGGAAAAATTTTATATATGACCAATCAAAGGTGCTAGAATGTTATGATTAAACCTAAATTGCAACATTTCACCCACCAAGCTAGACTAGACAGTACTGGTCTTCTTCATAAAACGACTACACTCCTTCTATCTCATGATTTAGATTGAAGACATATGGTCCAAGTACGTAGTTCATAAAAATGCCCATATATTATGTCAAGGACGTCTTGTATAATGTCCTTGATTATGTATTAGTACTAGCACAGCTGCATAATAAATGTCCAAGAACATGAAGCTTCAGTGTCGTAGACCAGTCTAGCCCTGTTGCATCGGTGTTTCAACAACTGCCGTTTGAAAGTAAACGTGAGTTGAGAAACACTAAAACCCAAGACTCCCAAGTTGACATTCAGTCTGTTCCATACATATATGCATCTTGAGAAATATGTATGGTGAAACAAACTGTTTTGCTTTTGTTCTAAATCTCGGTGAGCCTCAAATTAGAGAGCAATTTTTACCCGCATAAATGAACGTTTGTGCTATCATATAGATGTGTTTACCCCCAAAATACTCACCCTCACAGTGGAAACCAACAACTTGATCCACACAGGTCCAACTCGTAGGGCAAGGGTTAGGGTCACAATAGTCGATATCTGTAGCAACAATAGATCCGTAGATAATCTCGTTAGGTTGGTGAATTATTGAATAGCAAAGTTGTTTGAAACCGCATTAGCTCAGTATTTTTGGTAATCAATATATTATACATGCATATAACATTGTGTATGTCGGAATGATTGTTTTATGCTTCAAGAGACTGCATTGTTACATTGTTAACTAGCTTCCGTGATCGGTGAATCACGTAACACCTAGCTTCAGTACACAGAAAAACCTACCACATTAACCCTGATGAACATTACAGAAACGTCGGCTCTTGTTAAAAAAGTTGTCGTGAATAAAGAATTTTGCTATCCAAGAACAGATGCATATCTTATAATGTAATATAATACAAATCATACCATGTCAGGTGGCCGAGTAAATATTTTAAAACGTACCGTTTTCACACAGATCTCCGTCGAACCCAATCCGACAGGCACACACGTAGGAGTTGACACGATCAAGACATGTTCCCCCATTCTGGCAAGGGTTAGATGCACACTCGTTTATGTCTGAAAAAAACAACGGGTGATTTGCTAAATATTGTCCGTTTGAGGATCGGGCATAGACAGTTTGAAATAAGGCATTATGAAATGCTGATAAATGAGTGAACTTTTTTTGTGACTAAAAGAAATCGAAACTAGAGGGTCAGAGTTTGCAGAAGCACCATCCCACAAGACAACGAAAAATTACGAAACAAAATGGCCGACCCATGACCGCATAATGTTGACCCAGGGTTGACGTCACACTCCAAAGAAGCCACGTGACATGCTTCACTGGGTCAGTCTACTGAGGAAGACCAGAGTGACTGGTCGAAAGCTCTAGATGAGAGAATTTTTGGTTTTGGACCAAAAGGTTTAACTTAAGCTTGTTACCTGTTTCACAGAAAACGCCGGTGTATCCTGGAGGACAGTCACACATGGGAGACTCAGAGAAACAGGACTTGCAGACTCCACCGTGCTGACACACGTCGGGGTGGCATGGGGTCACAGCTTTGGGATGAGCAACATGTAAAGGATAAGTTTTCTTTGTACACAGTTATTCGTACCCAGCTGAGGTTAGGTAAGGACCTTCAACCCTTCTCAATAGACAATAGTGACTGGCTTCGCTTCGCACTTCAGCTAGATGTCGCTGCTGTATTTTGAAAAAAAGTGGTCCCAAACGTTCATGACGTTAGCAACAGATAAAGGTAGTGTTTACCATGTATTCTAGAAAACTGTCCAATTGGGCCAACGAATTTTTACCACCTTGTACATTAATTGAAACATAATCTATTGGAAAATAACACCCTCCTCCCGATTTTATTGCTTTAAATGAAATGCTCAATTAGCACTTTGACCATACATGCCAGTGGTTTTTGTGACTTACGCGACTCGCAGACGTAGTTGTGTTGTTCCGTGCAGGCGTGGAAGTCTCCCTTGTAACTCTGGTCTCGGTCCAGCAGCACACAGATGTCGAACGGGCCGTACATATCTTCCGCCATCCAGGATGACTGCACTGTAAACATAACATACTTGTACAACATCATAGACGGAAAAATAAAAATACAAAGTCGAACGAAATAGCTATGTATGCTGTGTACATGCATCGCTTTTGCAATATGTCTTTTAAAAAGTTTCAGATTTTTTAAAGCATAGCTTTTAGGTTGAAGCTGGTGTGTTAGGCCGAAGGGCGGTTATACCGGCTATACCGATACAGATACAGATTTTGTTTTCGTGACCTTGAAGTTTACAGATTTCCGAGAGGTGCTTCAATCTGGTTTTACATAACTTTCATCGATTCATACCGCTCACTTACCCAGACCAGAGGCGTGCTGGGTGACCTTTAGACTAGACTTATCAATCAACTGTCAAAATCACCTCCCACCCGGCATACTACCGAAGTTTTTGAGACGCCGAATCATACACTCAAAAGAATACTTCTGTATCTGCAAGTAAAACTGGAACTCACACGACATCGGAGATCCATCGATGTGGAGAAGTGTCGGTGTCTCTGACTTGATGAAAGTCCAGTGAGAGACATCGTTGGTGTTCCGGATGATGTCAGTCAGCATCTGCTGCTCATGTGACTGTTTGATGTCCACCAGCTGCCCTCCCATGAAGACACAGGCTGCCAAGGCCTCCTTATGTGACAGGGCGTCCCTGGACTGTCGGTAGCACTTGTCGTTGTGGACTGTCGTGTTTAGATAAACACAATTTGCATAAACAAGATCACATTATCGTTACAAACTTTATCGGTTGCATTATCGGTCACATTATCGGTTACAAACTTTACGATATTGTAAAATTTCACCATATTGACGAATTGATACTACTTGGAAAGTTTACAATTTGTAAGTACAAGTATGGTGAATACAAGGGAAGTGTTAGGATATTATTTGAAAATGAATGTTCCGTGAGAGTGTAAACGTTGTTTACCACATGTAAATATGTATATTGCATGTATTGCATATTGACTGTATATTTCATTTGTCAATAAAGATGTCTTGAGTTAAAAAAAAAAACAAGATAAAAAATGTTGGTGTATTACAGACATTTCAATCTTAAACGTTTTGTAATTACAAATCAGCGGCCTGTGTGTTAACAGCATCTATAATTTATATAGATAAAGTAAAGGTTTGGCGCCGCGTTTTCTTCCGTTACAGACAGGTGATTTGAGTGTACATGAACAACGATTTCAGTAGCCTGTCTACATAACCGGGCTGCATTTTGACCGTTTTAATCATTTTATGGTCCAGAGTCCAGATTGTTATCAGATAAGTAGGTAAGCAGTTACAAGGCTTATAAGTGGCCCTGAGAAAATCACCTCACCTATCCCTTAAGAAAATCGATGATGTACATGCTAAATGTACATGCTAGTTTCAGCGCACAGTGAACCAGTCATAATTGGGGGCCCGCAAGCCCTTTTCCGTAGAGCGTAATCGGCCGTTTTAATTGTACGTAGAGCGTAGAAAGACCGATCTAATTCAACGTAGATCGTAATTGGCGCATTTTGCGTAGAGCGTATTCGCCATTTTAATTCTACGTAATGCGTTGTAGCCACTTGGAATAAAAAACTTAATAAAGAACTTTGTTATTCAATGTGTAACGTTACCTGTTTCGCAGTTCTGTCCTGAGGTCCCAGACGGACAGGTACAGGTGTAGCCAGTCGGACCATTCACACACGTCCCTCCTGACCAGCACGGATTGCCAGCACAGTGGTCTGTGGTTACGAAGGCCCATAGGTACACTTAGCATTTTTTATTCCACTTTGTATTTTCTATGGGTACTTTGTATTTTCTATGGGTACTTTGTATTTTCTATGGGTACTTTGTATTTTCTATGGGTACTTTGTATTTTCTATGGGTACTTTGTATTTTCTATGGGTACTTGTTTTTTTCTGTTGGTACTTTGTATTTTCTATGGGTACTTTGTATTTTCTATGGGTACTTTGTATTTTCTATGGGTACTTTGTATTTTCTATGGGTACTT